GGGGGGGGGAATGACCCCCTGCCTCTACCGTTTTCCAGCGCAGGTTTGGATGTGTCATTCGATGTGACATCAGACCCAGGTCAATCCTTAGGGATGGAGGAAATGGAGTAAAATCACTCTCCGTGTTACAACTTTGCAAAAACACCCATGTAAACTCTTAAAAATAAAGGATTCCAAAAGGGGGCTTTCACAGTGAAGCCATAGAAGAACCATGGAAGTTTTCAGTGAACAGATCCTGAAATAATCTTTATTTTCTTGGTGTGAATTTTAATAAATCTACACTCTTAAAAACAAAAAGTTCCAAAGGTGGTTTTTGCAGTAATGACATAGAAGAACCTTTATTTTTAAGAATGTAACAAACCTTTTGTGCAGTGGAAAGGTTCAATGGAGGTTAAAGGTTCTTCATGGAACCACTGATGCCAATAAAGAAACTGAATCAACTATAGTGATTTACCACAAGTAATTACCATGTGCACATCAATAAATACATGAAATGCCCTCATATAGCAGCAAAGTTGATGTCTAATTATCTTAGCTGGAAAACAGACAAGCTTCTTTAACGCTTTAATTTGTCATTTGTATGCTCCTTTCTGTCAGTATTCATAAAAGTCAAGTTGAACAAACATTCAAGTTTTTCTTTTTCGAAAGATTAAACTAATTACAAAGAGTGTTTCAAAGACCTTATTTACACAATGCAGGATAAACATACCAAAATGCAGCGCCCTGCCCAATTAAAGGCTCTCTCACTGCACCATAGTATGTAGCCTACTCCTCAGTACATATAGCATATAAATTGCAGGCTTCTAATTAATTTGCCTGCTTTTAAGGGTTTCGGGGGACTGTTAATTTCTTTGATATTCCAGGCAGAGAACCAAAATGTTGGTGCAGTTTCCACGAGACTCTTAGACATGCTTGACTAGCGAGTCATTGCATCACATTCATCTGCCTGGATGAGGGAGACATTAACTGCCTTATGAATATTCATGCTGCCTGCTTAATTAAGTTAATTGTTCTATAGAAGTGCTCGCACTTCCAAGGACAATCTCTCTCTCTCT